GAAGAGTGACCACCCCACTGGATGCCATGTTACCACTACAGGACGAAAACAGCTATCCACCTAACTTAGATGACTTCTTGCAAAGAGCCGAAGAAGCACGGCAAATTGCAAGATACCGAATACGCCACCAACAGCACGTCGATTCTAGTCGGTATAACAAGCGACGCAGTGACGCACTTTATCATCCCGGTGACAAAGTGTGGATATGGATACCAGTGCGCCGCCGCGGACTCTCTGAAAAGCTTCTTTGCCGATACTTCGGCCCTTAAGAAGTACTCAACCGTATCAGCAACGTCACTTATGAAGTCAGAACCACTGGACACGTGAGTTCAAGACGCCGCAATCCCACGGAAGTGGTACACGTAGTCCGCAGGAAACCCTATTATGACAGATTGTCGGAAAACGAGTGAGAGTGCGCATGTATCTTTTCACTGTCTTAAGCATCGGGACGATGCATCTGAGGAGGGGGATGATGCCGCGACAGGTTGGCCATGTTCAAGTAGCCCGCCGCAATCATCGTGGCAAGAGAACAAGCAAGACCCGGCTGGCATGCGCCACGCGTTCGTGCTCTCCGGCAACGAGGAAGCGGAAGATAGTGAGATCTGTGCCACTCGGCTACTCGGACTTGACGACCATAGTCTTTAGAATCGTGGGCACAAGTTCGCCCTAATAAATACGCTTGTTTTCTAACCTGTCTGCCTCAGCATCGCTACAATATTTTAACGCTTGTTTTTATATTAACGTGCACGTACTTGTCATATGCGTGCATCTTCATCTTCTGTCACGTGTGTCTAACTATTTTTACTATATTATTCTATGTGCAGACGTGGGAACACAACAGGCAGAAGGCTGCGTGTGCTGGCGTCTGCAATGCCTGTCATCTTTCGCTTCCGTCGGAGGAGCTCCCCAAGGAGCGAACAAGATTTGACAACGAGACTGGACTTGTACACTTCACCATGCACTCACTTAAGAGAATGGAGAAACTTCATGTTTATGTAGAAAAATAAAATATATCGAGGTCTCATTTTTGTCTTTCGTTGTTGCCGTGACTGCAAAAGCAGTTACACATAGGTGGCTAACTACATTTTCGCGTGTTCTTTTCTGCGCAATTTGTTGCTCACTGCGCAGAAAAACAGGAGAAAAAAAGTATTAGGCCTAATATAAAATAAACACAAAAATTGGCAGCATATCCACGGAGTGAATGATGGAGAGTGGGGCGAAGCATTCATCCGTCCATTCGTTCTTGCTTCCTTCCGTCTGTGCGACCGTCCATGCGTCCATGCGCCCGTCCGTGCGTGCGTCCGTTCCTGCGTTCGTCCATGCATCCGCCCCTGTGTCCGTTCATGCGTCCATTCATGCGTCTGTCTGTGTGTCCGTTCGCCCATCTATTCAACACTACAAGTGCCACCATCTCGCATCTTTTCATCATATACTCCCCATATAGAAACACTGCCATTCAGCGGACATTCCAAGGACTAAACGAGAGGTGGCACACGCACACTTTCTAACAGCTTGCGCTTCGGGTCTACTTCCTACCTTTAGCCACCTCGAGTTCATGGTATATACTAGTTCACTGCATTCATGGCACTGCGGCCCGATGCTCGCTAAACCTTTCTAAAACCAAGGAGGTTACGCCCAGCGAGTATAACGTAGCAACCTTTCCCTTCAGATAGTGCTCAATGTACATGCAATGGCTGCTAATGGGGATCACAGCGTGCACGTTAACTAAAAGCCGAATGCTCCTGTCTCTCATACCCCATTATCAGCTATTGGCATGTACATTGAGCACTATTTTTTGTTGTTCAACAACGCACACAAGGAATCTCTCACCGGCACCACCTTGGAGGTCAAAATGTTTGCACGTCAAAGCGTAAAACTGGTTACATACTACGCGGGACGAACGGGTGCTGCTATAAGGAGCTTCGCCCCTAAAAACAATGTGTGACCTGGGGACAAAAAGTCCATCTGATTGGAGTATTTGAGTGGATCAACCGTTCGTCCGGCAAAGTGCAAGTGTGACTAACGGTTGCCCGGTAAGGTGTAAATGTGGGGATGAACAATTGCTCTCTAAGGTGCAAATGTGAGGACAAAATGTTAGTCCTTTGAGGTGAATTGTTGGACTAACGGTTTCTCACTAAGATGTATATTTGAGGACTAAATGTTAGTCCTTTGAGTTCGTCTGTGCGGACTAACTTTAGACCCAGTGCCGTTAGTCCTTAAAGGATTAATGATTGTGGCAGCCCCATTAGTCCCCAAAAGGACGAACCACACACCCTTTCAACACCCTTTTGCCTTAGAGTGTACCCGTGACCACTAGGAAGCGCGGGATGACCAGCTATCAGCTCGAGATGCGGGAACGACTGCTTTGCCTAGATTCAGCAGCAGTGCTTGATCGCATCTTTATGAACTTAGAAAAGGTCACCTACCTGTTCTCTACAATTTTTATTGGCTGAAACAAATGTTTCAGCAGCAGCAACAACAACACGTCCAACAATTTATTGCTAGTTATTTAGCAATCAGTACGTCATAAAAATGGCTCAGATGGCTTCACGTCTCAATAAACGTTGCATGAATTTCTGCAAAAATAAGCTGTATTTTCGTTTTATTCATTGTAGCTTTACCACGAAATATTGTGACCTAAATGGGTGTCTCGCCATTTCATTTTTAAAACTCGAATTGTGAATTAAGGCCGCTTCAACGGTCGGTTCTAAAAACAAGAAATAGAAAAAAGTCACTCGAAACACTTGCCGTCCAGTTAACTATGTGTTGCGCTTCACATACATTAACTGCTCGAAGGAGGTGCTTGACAGCCGCTTACGCTTTGCTGTCATTATTAAGGATGGAGAACAGCGTTCCATGTCAGCTGACGTCGCATTCACTAATAAAACTTCCCTTGCAAAGTGAGAAGCCAAAGAAAGCGGCCTTCGTTCACGCTCCAATAGGCCAGATGCTTAGTAGTGTCTGTGCAGGTTCCCCCCGAAAAAAAATGGCAGCACATACACGGAGTGAGTGATGGAGAGTCGGGCGAAGCATTCGTGCGTTCATTCGATCTTGCTTCCGTTCGTCCATGCGTCCATCTGTGTGACCGTCCATGCGTTCATCCACCCGTCCATGCGTGCGTCTGTTCGTGCGTCCGTCTCTGCGTTCGTCCATGCATCCGCTCCTGCGTCCGTTCATGCGTCCATCCATGCATCTGTCTGTTGTCCGTTCGTTCATGTATTCAACACTCCAAGTACCACCATCTTGCATCTTTTCGTCATGTATTCCCCATATAAAAGCACCGCCATCTAGCGGACATTCCAATTACTAAACGAGAGGTGGCACACGCACACTTTCTTACGGCTTGCGCTTCGGGTCTACTTCTCACCTTTAACCACCTCGAGTTCATGGTATATACTAGTTCATTGTATTCATGGCACTGCAGCTCAACGCTCGTTAAACCTTTCTAAAACTAAGGACGTTACACCAAGCGAGTATAACGTAGCAACCTTTTATTGTCAGATAGTGCTCAATGTACATGCCAATGGCTGCTAATGGGAATTGCAGCGTGCGCGTTAGCTAAAAGCCGAATGCTCCTGTCTCTCATTACCCATTAACAGCCATTGGCATGTACATTGAGCACTATTTTTATTGTTCAACAACGCACAGAAGAAATCTCCCACCAGCGCCACCTTGGAGGTCACAATGTCATACTTGTTACATCCTACAACGGCTACTAGGGACGAACAGGTGTGGCTATAAGGAGTTTCGCCCCTAAAAAGTTCCCCTGCAATTGATCCAGAAATTATCTTGGTTGATATTATCATTTTGCCTGATGTTTTTAAACATCAGTCTGCTTGACCCTGCCTCAGAGTCTGCATTCGCTATGGTGCTACATCTGCTTGGGTGGGTGTGGTCATGAGGTGAGACGGCCGGTGCACAAGCTGGTACGCGAAAGCTTGCAGTGAACACAGGCATCGCCCCAGTTTCAATGTGCATCACAACTTCCAGAAGCGCTTTTTCGGATAAGCGTCCAATTCGCCGACAAAAATAGAAGCAAAAAAAAAAGGTGGAGGCGCACGTGAGAGGATGGCCGCCATATATAGTTCCGGGAGAGGATGGCCATCCGGGAGAGGATGGCCGCCATATATAGTTCCACACGACGGACACCAACGGCATAGAACCACGGCTACGCGAACATTAGAGACAAACGTTGGAGCAACACATTCTGTAGGACGATGAAATTGCAGAAGGCGTATAAATGTACCGCGCTTGTAATCAGCCAAGCCAATTTAAACACACTGCGTTATTGTTGAAATCGAGGCTCTGGCTTATTAATGTTCGAAGTTATTAGGTCAGCGCGTAGACGAAAACGTGCTCTATTTTCGGAAACATACCTAATTTCATTCCCGTTCCATTCCCTGCAAAAGGTGCCTAATTTCATTCGAATGCAATTTCAGTCCTCAATGCATTGTCCCTTTTCATTCCCACTCCATTTCGAGGTCGAAAAATGTGGAATAATTCCGGAATAATTCCAATTCCAGAGTGGCGAATCCTTAACACTGATGGCTATGCCACAGGGGCTGTCGTGAGGAATTATGGCGTGAAAGAGTCTGACTGCATATTTTACAGGTTTCTCGGATAGCTGCAGTTGAATTCAGTCAACTTAAACACAAATGACGCGGGCAAGAAAGGCAACAAGGAGAACCACTACCTTCAGACCATGGTGGCGGGTCAGGAGAGCAAGGAAATTCGCTAGGATACGATCAGGACGTGTTGCAGCATTTTATCGCGCATACACACACGAAAAAGATACGCCTTTGTGTTAGTTCTTGTCCCTGTGATTTCGCTCCTATGGTACTGCTGGTTGCGTCTTTTAGTCGGGGCTTTGAAAAAAAAATAAAACAGTTCTTAATTTTAGTATGTTTTCGCTGAACGAACCATGGTAAATTTTGAACATGTCATCATAGTGACCAGCCCATGCTTTGCGATATAGGAGAGCTCGTGTGTGCGGCACTCACCGGCGAATCGGTTGCACGCATTGACGGCCAGGCGGTCGGATAGCACCATTGAGAAGATGCTTCGCTCCCGGTACACCTCCAGAATCCGTGTGCACACCTTGCGTACGGCCAGTGCTGCTGCGATGCTGAATCATACAAAAAAAATTAAGACTTCCAATTGGGCTTGTTGAACAGGGCGTGATTTACAATGCGATAAAAAACCAACTGCCAATGTGCATCTTAAAAAAGGGCACACAGAACAAGTGGCAAGGTTTTAACGACTAGAACTTCAATACGTCTTTTGAGTGCACAGCTCTTAGGCGCTCGTTGCTTCGTTGAGTGGCGAAGCCGTTGCAGTTACCGTCGAACAAGCAATCGCGTTAACTTAAACGTAATGTAGCATGGCAGAAGAATAAAGCAACAACAATGCTCATTGTACAACGAGTGCGTGCTTTAACGCTTCCAACATACTGCGAACAGTTCCGCCTTAATTGTTCATTTACATCAGTCGCATGCAGCATCAAAAAATTGAACGTAATACCTTATAGATGTGCAGATGGCACCTTGCTTATTCGTAAAGACATGAATGATGTTGTAGTGAGTGCTGTTCTATTTCACAAAGATTATGATATATGGCGTGGTTTATACGTTGCAGAAAGTAAAAACTTTTAACGGGAAGCTGCGCTCAGAATTCGCGTTAGGCAGCATTGCAATCGTCGATAATTTTTTCTTCCTTAAACTTTTCCCGCTAACACACAGGAAAGCTTCAGTGGGGCTGAGAGCTGAGAAAGTTTGAGAGATATAATTTCACCATATGGTGTAGTAGCGCAAATACGACGGGGCACAAGGACAAGAAGAAACACGACACTCACTACACTCGCAACTAATTTTATTTTAGAAGCAGCACTTCATATATAACCCTGTGAGAAAACTGTGAGTCAGCAATTTTTGTCTCTTGCGTAAAAAACGTCTAGTCCTATTTGCTACATGCCCCGCCGCGGTGGTCTTGTGGCTAAGGTACTCGGCTGCTGACCCGCAGGTCATGGGTTCGAAATCTCGGCTGTGGTGGCTGCATTTCTGATGGAGGCGGAAATGTTGTAGTCCCATGTGCTCAGATTTGGGTGCACGTTAAAGAACCCCAGGTGATCGAAATTTCCGGAGTCTTCCACTACAGCGTTTCTCATAATCATATGGTGCTTTTGGGACGTTAAATCCAGCATATCAATCAAAATATTTGCTACATAAGACGTCATGAATTAAACGATACTCATGCACCATGTAAGGCTTCCCTGAGTAATTCAGTGTAACACAAGAATTTTATTCGTCATACCTATAAGGCTTAATTCTCAGCCATTGCACTGCCGCCCCCCCCCCCTCATATAAAGCTACGAAGGCGGGTCTTCCGCACGTTCTCCGCAAGTAGGACGGAAGCTTATTGCGGTTTCGCTCACTCGCTCGCATCGCTCACACCTTTAGATAACATATAGACGAAAGCTTTAATGGTATAGACATTTCGATTTTCCAGTGTACATTTAGCATCATCATAACAACTACATATTTTTTTGGAAAACTAAACAGCGCGTTTGTGGTCGCACAGTGACGTCACGGACGCCTCGTTCACTGAGGTGGTAATGTCTGAGAAATGAAAAGGAAGGGAGCGCATTTTCACGAAGGGAACAATAACTCTATTTTACCCACAACTTACCACAACTACATGAGTGCTATGATAAATAAAATAGTATTAATTTTCCCCAAAGCATATGCGCAAGTTTCATGGGAGCAATATGACGCAAAGCAGCCAGCAAGGAACAAATGATAACATATATAGCACGCATCCCCTGATTCACAAGTAGGGACGTGTCTTTCATGTTCGTCTAAAAGTCACGCAACGCAAATCCAAATTTGATGTAACATCAAGCTTGCGAAAAAGTCGCAAGCGTGCGATGAGCGTTGCATGCAAGTTATCTTTTACATGATATGCCCATCATGATTTTGATATGAACACTACTAATCCATGTTGGCCATGCGGAAGTGCCTCGTCATTTCAATTTTTTGGATATATGAAGTTAAGGAAACGGTCGCGAAATCATCATGGCCGTGGCTTGTATATACTGTTCATGACAAGTTATTGATGATTTTCAAGATAATACCAGTCATTCACGTTCTCCATACAATCATGTTACTCCATGCCAATTTAGGTATAAATCCATTAATGAGCCCAAAGCGTAAATAGATAGATAGATAGATAGATAGATAGATAGATAGATAGATAGATAGATAGATAGATAGATAGATAGATAGATAGATAGATAGATAGATAGATAGATAGATAGATAGATAGATAGATAGATAGATAGACACGCTCAATGTCGCCGAAGTTCGCTATGATATGCTTCGCATTGAAGAAATTGTCAGCAAACCTAGGTATGTCTTTATCTTCAGCAGGCATCCTTCTCGTTTTTAGCTTCCACAGCCAACTATACTGAGGACCAGGTATCCTTCATTACTCAACTTTGGGCTCTTTAATTTCAGTATTGATAAAGTGTGGGGTTTCACGTCCCATAAGGACCATATGATTATAAACGACGCCGTTGTGGAAGGTTCCGGAAATTTTGACCACATAAGGTTTTTAACCTGCGCCCAAATCTGAGCACACACCCTGCCACGTTGGTGTAGTGGCTGAGGTACTGGGCTGCTGACACGCAGGTCGCGGGATCAGAGCCCACGACTTGCGTGTTCACGTTTGGGTGCACGTTAAAGAACCTCAGGCGGTCAAAATTTCCGAAGCTCTCAACTACGGTGTCTCTCATAATAATGTGGTGGCTTTAGGACGTTAAACCCTACATATCAATGAAATATGAGCACGGGCATACAGCATTTGGGACTCCATCGCATCCTCAGTCCTCAGTCTCCATCCTCAGTCTCCAACCTTCAATTGCACGTCGGCGATGCGAGGCATTGCAACTTTTCTGCACCTCGAGTGGCTTTGCACTGCCTCCGTGGACCATGGTGACGATGTCGTATGACGTAAGGAAATTATCACATTAAAAGTATCAGCAATCTGAAACATCAACTGGCATTCGAGTCACGTGACATCGAATAAGCCGAGGACAAGCGCTTCATGTGTGACACGTGACTTCTAACCGACTTCTCGGTCATTTTTTACCCCTGATGAAGTCTCGTGGTGTATCGCCAGTCCTCACCATATCTCCCAAAGCCTCCCCACATGCGCATCATATAATGTTTCCGCTTAATTAAACGAACGTAGTATATACAGGCCAAAGTTCTATGCAGAACTTTTGTCGGGGGGGGGACACCTTATAGATTCAAAGTGGGGGCCGGCAAGGCAAACGATTGATTGATATGGGGGGTTTAACACCCCAAAACCTCCATATGATCATGAAAGACGCCGTAGTGGAGGGCTCCGGAAATTTGGACCACCTCGGTTTCTTTAACGTGCACCTAAATCTGAGCACACGGGCCTACAACATTTCCGCCGCCATCGAGAATGCAGCCGCGGCCGCCGAGAATCGATCCCGTGACCTGCGGGTCAGCAGCCGAGTACCTCAGCCACTAGACCACCGCGGCGGGGTGGAAGGCAAATGGTCATCTTGCGGGGTGTATGCATGGCGAAGGATAATATCGGGGGGGGGGGGGGGGGAGGAGAGCACGAGCACTGAGCGCCTTTTCCTGGCTATGCCCCTGGTAACAGCGGTAGTTGAGAATAAAGTACCTGGTTATCTTCGGCAACGTCACCTGGTTGCCGGCGCGCAGTGAGGCGCGGAAGGAATCAGCACCTCGCGTCTCAACAGCGATGATAGGCACGTCAGCCCATGCGGCCGACTTCATGCCCTCCGACAGGCCGCAGACCAGACCGCCGCCACCAACCGAGGCGACAATGGCAGCGGGAATACGATCACCCAGGTCCTCCTTCATCTCCGCCACCATGGTTGCATTGCCCGTCCTACAAAGAAAGAGTTCAACAAGCACACCACACTATACTGTACTGGTATCATTGGGTGAAGTGCCTCCTGCAAAACTCTCAAGTTGTAAATCAAGTGGATCTTTGCTTCGATGTTTGGCATGGTGCTTTATTGCTCTACCTTCAGCAGCACTTGAATTAGAAAGGGCTGATAAATATAACAAAATTCTGAATGTTGTGGGCACTTATATGAAACCTCTTCATCGCTTGTATATAACCGTCATCGCATGGTGCTATGCAAATTCATCGTTTGTAGGGGCACCACTTGAGTTTTCTGTGCCTCGGATGTGCCTGGTTTCGCCACGTCATCAAGGCCTAATTAAGGCATGTAAAGTACTATGTCGCTAGCGGTGGAAGTTGCTCCTCGATTCGCCATCTCCGCTGGCCCGCTTTACCTCTTGTATCTTCACTCAGGTTGCCGTTTGGACCACCTGTCCATAAGCATGTCTCAGGACGAACTCTCAGGCACCACTTCATCGACCACTTCCGGCAGCGATTGTCTCAGCTCCTCATTTTTCGATCGTCAAGGGGCCGCGTGGCAAGCCCCATCTGTTTCCTGGACTTCGCATTGAGATTACATCGAGATTGGACTTCGCAAATAATATTACAGCAAGACACTGGCACTGATATGAGCGAACAGAGCGTCGGCCATCGATCAACTGACAAGCGGTGAAGCGTGTCGGCATTTGTACACTTGCCATCGAATAATCTAGCGTTATCGCTAGCGTTGATGTAGGTTCCAGAATAATCTGTAAAGTTCAAGAAGTGGGCGTACTCTTAACAAGATGATCTGCTGTCGTCCTGAAGCTTCTGAAACAATGTAGGTGTGGTTTGTGCTGAAACTTACTGACAGAGATACGGGGCGATCACGAAACATTAGGCGAGAATGTGGAAATATTACGATTGGCTGCTTCCGAATGGCATAAAAATGGCTTGAAAACTGCATCAGAGACTCTCTCGGTAGTTAATCTTCAACAGGCTTCCCCTAAAGATCTCTCTGTTGGAGTTTCCACATCCATCTTAGCTCCTGAAGCAGCCATCAGCTACAACTTAACCCCTTCGCAGACACAACAGCTGCTTGCCTTACGGACTAAGCGTGAAGCTTCGTTTGACGTACAGTCGAGTGCATAATTTTAAAGATCACGCAGGTGCGTGCCGAGCCGCGTCGCTGCGCCTTCTGGCGGCTGCACGGCTCTGTCTGGGAGCGCGTACTGCGCACGCTCGTCCCATATCACCCGGCAGCCTGCCCTTTGTTTCAACGGCACGCATCTCGAAACGATGTGGACGGTGCAAGGTGTCACTTCCGTAGTCGCTGTGAAGACAACGAAAGAAGCCGAGCACTAATTTGACGACAGCACATGATTTGCGGGTTTGGGCTGCTGCACATAGTGCACGTTGCACTTAGCGATCCGCGGCGTGATCACATTTTGATTGTCGAGTAAGATAATCAATAAGTTCAGCCAGCAATGTTGCCTTTTGCACTTTCATTCGCCGAACTAACGCACGTAGTAATACTCGGTCCAAAAATCATGTGTCTATATGAACATGCATGAAACCACCAAACGTCCAACAGCTGTAGAAAAGAGCTGAAAAAGAAAGGTGAAAACAAACTCGGTTTATTAAGGGTAAATCTTGTATTAAGGCCGCTGCGGTGGTGCAGTGGTTTCGATGCTCAGCTGCTGACCTGAAAGGCGCATCTTCAGGTCTAGTCGCGCATGCCGTATTTCGATAGTGGAGAGATACTTCAAACTAGTATACTGAGTGGACGTTAAAGAACCTCGAATAAGGAAACATTCCCAAGACGTTACTTTGGTGGAGCTCTATGTCATATCTGCATAATAACATTTATTTCTCTCTCTATATCGTGGTTATGTCACGTCGAGAGCCCGCACTTATTATTGGTAGGAGTCGAGCCTCGACCCAAGAGTTTCTAGGATTCGAATTTCATATATTCATGTGTCGTCTTCTACTACTCGAACCATTAACCCCGATTGAAGTCAACCCAATATTTGTATGCATTATAGTAGATTAAGACAAGTAAGCGTGAATAAATGCGCGTTGAGACGTGCAAGAGATGTCATAGGCTTTCACTTTCGAGTCTTTTTTGTATTTTGGGGTATCTGGGAATGGTTTTCCGGAAACCAGAGAAAATCACGAAGGTTGAAAGGGGCTTTCACCGCTTTCTCTATTTCAATAGAACTAACTATACATGACATATGCACAGAACATTCTCGAACGCGAAGTAGTCGGGAATTGAGACTGCCTCCATTAACATCCGTCGCTCGAGCATCAGCGTGTACTCTGGTATTCTGGTCACGTTGTTTTGTTGAATACTGCAGTGAATTACAGGCGAGCACATTTCAGTTCGAAGGGCTCAAATGTTGGAGGCCCCACAAGGAAACAAAAGTTAATTCCTTAAGCTGTTCGACCAAGTACCTCGCACGGCGGCACACCGCTCCTTTTGAACACAGTACTCACTGCGTGGAAATGCGATTTTTTATTAAAACTCTCTGACAAAAATTGGGTACTCAGATTGTTCACGCGTGCTTGCGACGCAGGCGCAGTACCATTTTGTCATTTTTGTCAATTCTTTGCCTTGTTTGGTAGTCTTTCGGGCTTGGTGATGATAAGAAATTATGGTAATAAGGGCTGCATCGCGAGCACGAAGGTGCTAGAAAAAACAGACGGAAGGTGAGGCAAAGAAAGCAAAGAGGACAACACGAGCGCTGACTACCAAATGAATTTTATTATTCGCAGCACTCGCAGCACACATGATATTATATACAACAGGACACCTTTTAACAGCAAACGTGAGCGACGTGACATATTCTGGGGAATGGTATGATAAAAAGAAGGTACAATGATAAAATGGCTAACACTTATCTAAAAGCGCGAACTCTTTGTCATGCGACGCCACCAAAGGTTGGCTCACGCATCCGTCACCATGTTTTCTAATAAAATACGCTTCAGCTATTTCACGAGCTAACTTGTCCATGTGGCGCGCCAGCACACTCACGCCCGGAAATCGAGGCTGGCACCCGCAGCTTTTGCAGTGCAAAACAAGGTTTGAACTAATTCCTTTGCATATATCATTCATATGTTCTCCTAACCTTTTATTATTGCACCGCCCAGTTTGGCCTATATAACAACGACCGCACGGTAAAGAAAGCATGTAAACACCAACTGCGCAATCTAAAAATATATTTATCTGTTTTAGGGCGCATGTCCAACTTTTTTTGGTGATTCCACTAAGTCGCTCATCCGTCATTCTGCAAATCTGGCTTACTTTGCACGGGGCTGATAAAACTACATCCACACCATATCTCGAGCCTACCTTCTTCAAACCATGAGATATATTGTGGAAGTATGGAATGACTGCAACTCTTTTTCGCTCTTTATTTCCTCCTGCCTTTTCTTGTTTTTGTTTAATTTTTTGCAACAAAGCTTCGCACGCTGAAGAAAGTACAGATTTTGGAAATCCCGCTGACAGAAGTGTGTTAATTTGCATTGTTACACTATCAGTCATCTTGTGTAGGCAGGACTTAGATCACTCAGGTACTTAGATATTAATATTACATTGTTTCCAAATCACGTATGCTGGGAATACCAACCGCGAAATGTTAAACCCTTGTTAAACTATGCCTCCTGCCACACAAAACTGGTCAAGAGAGCTATTGCTTCGTCGGCTGTAAGTGCTGGCTTATCTAAGTGCTGCCTACACAAGATGACTGATAGTGTAACAATGCAAATTAACGACTTTTTTTTCTGGCTTCTAAGAATAAACTATTTATTTATCGCGTTTTCTGGCTATTCATTCTGGACGCGCGATATTCAGTGGTTTACTCCAAACCACTGCACGCGTGATATTCGCACCAAGAAATGGAGCTGGCATAACGTCTCCGAGACAGAGCACGAAATTCATCACTGCAAGATGAGCATAGTCACGCAACTCCGTTTGAGCAAAGCTGAGAAACTGCATGTTTTCCGCGCTGCATCTAGGAAGAAAGCATATTGCATGGCGCGCTCAAGCCATGCTATTACATTAGAGGCATTTTCGCCGCTATATTACCGCTCGGGAGTACAGGTGCTTGCACAGCGACTGTAGAAGTGGCACCTTGCGCCGTCCGCATCGTTTCGAGATGCGCGCCATTGAAACGAGCGAAAGAGCAGGGTGATATTGGACGAGCGTGCGCAGTACGCGCTCCCGGACAGAGCCGTGCAGCCGCCAGAAGGCGCAGCGACGCGCCTCAGCACGCGCACCCGTGGTCTCTAAAATTGATTGATTGATTTGTGGGGTTTAACGTCCCAAAACCGCTATTTGATTATGAGAGACGCCGTAGTGGAGGGCTCCGGAAATTTTGACCAACTGGGGTTCTTTAACGTGCACCCAAATCTGAGCACACGGGCCTCTAACATTTCTGCCTCCATGTGGTCTCTAAAATTATGCACTCGACTGTACATCCTTCTATATTGCGACAGGCGTGCGTCAGCACTTATCGAATCGAGATAAGTAGTACGTGCACCTTTAATCGTCGACCATATCATGTATCTCTGGCTGAGTGGAAGGTCATCGAAGAAAACTTTGACGTCATGTTGAGACGAATGCTAATACGTTCCTCTGCTAGTTCTTGACAATATCCTGTCATCTTAGTTCGATAAAAGCGGTTCTGTGTGGTTCTGCGTAGATCGCCAGGCACTAAACAAGTCCACGTGCAAGTGTGTATCTTATACCACGTATAAACAACGCCTTGGACTCGCTACAGGGGGCTGAGTACTTCTAGTGTCTCGATCTACCTTCGGTGAACTGGTAGATACCAATGCATGAGGACGATAAAAAACGACGTTTTCAACAACAAGGAATTCGGTACCAATGACATTTGACTTTCAAGTGCTACAAGGACTTCCAACCTTGTTCGTTCCTCGCAGCTGCTCAAGTCATGTCATGGTCAGTGCAGTTTTGCAAGACGCGGTCACCTCCTCCAGAACGCCACAGCCAGCTTCGTCCCCCAAATTTCCCCCATTTACCGGACTGATACTCTTTTCTGAAGTTTTGCATGTTCACAGAACACCACTGGGTCATGAAATCAATCGTGCATTTTGACATTTGTCACTTCTCCACCTCTCCTTGTTTACTTCTTTTTGTTCGTAATCCATGCCTTCTTTCGGGGGCAGGGGGAATTATGTGACGTATGAAGCGATGGTTAGTAGACGCCGAGAAGGAAGAAGTGATAAGCAAGAACATGGGGCATGAGCCAGGCGACGTCGCCAATTCATCATAGCGTCACATTGTCATATTTTACTTGACAAGCATAACATGATTATCAGGCTTGGACGTGTCTTTCATTTTCATCATTCATTCATGCCACGTAATAGCAAATTTATTATATTTGTAAGCTATGACTTACAATGTAAGCTATGTAAGCTATGCAGCTAGGGAGCGCGGCAATTGGGACGGTCGGAGCGAAACACGGCGTGCGCTCGTGATCTCGAAGGCTATGGTTGGAAAGCTGGGATGTTGGGGCTGTCCCACGCACAACTGCATAGCAGCCGTGTTCACATGCCCTATCATAGGGCCTTACCATCTCATGCATAGCTGCACCTCTAGCGGTGGGTGCTGTATTCAAATAAAACTGAGGCGGAAGTTTTGTGAGCAGTCATGCATTGAAGAACTCTTGTATGGCTCCAAGTATCTTTGCTCGTGCGTTTTATTTTTCATTTCCTTTGTTGCCCCTTGACTATACTTGAGAGAAAGTATACGGCTATCAGATGAACGAAAACTCAGTGACTCTTTCCGCGCATTCGCATTATTGCCTCGGCATCTCACTGCGATATTTTCCCCCTAACTGTAGCAATTCCCTCTACCTAATAACTTTACAAAAACGTTTTTTGGATTGGTTACAGATTTGACGAAAAAATTGCAGGAGATGCTCTGCATAGAAAGCCTGCTTATTCTGTAACTTTTTATTATGTTATTTAACAAAAATACATTGGCTAAACGACTCAACAGACACGATTAGAAAAGCTATTCGATATCATTTAGTCATGTCTATCCAATTGGCCAATAAATACTGGCTCGAATAACGCAAATTGCCGTGTCATTCATTAAACGTGCTCTGGTTCCCAGTTGACTGCCGCCAAGAAACGATCAGGCTGCTGAGAGCAGAGGCTGTCAACGCTTAAGTAATTCCTGTCACTTAGTCGAAAAGTCAACTTCAACACTTCCTGTACTTAGCCAGAAAGCATTGCCTATCTGTCGCGAAGGCTCTTGAACACTTGAGCCAAAATTTGTTGCAGTGAATCTGTGTATGGTCAGGGTTTGAATTATTCATCGAGTTTTGTTTCTACATTTGAGAAAAAAATGTGTACAAAATGTTGCAAACCCTGAGACATTGTGAACACAGGGCTCACGCACGGGGGTGGTGAAGCAGGCTTGAGGCAGTTGACCTCGAAAAATCACTGCTGCGTGTCGACTGATTTGCGCTTGTGTGAAAAAAATATGCAGTCATGTTTTCTCACGGAACAAGCCACAGGCTATGGTAATCACCACATGGTAAATTTTGCTTGCCAAAACCAAGATATGGTTATAAAGCACCGCGTAGCAGAGGAGTCTTGAAGTTTCGACCACCTATAGTGTTCTTAAACGTGCACCTGAATCTAAGTAAATGAACCTCTCGCATTTAGACTCCATCGAAAAACATTCACTGCGGCCATGGTTGACGGCTCAACTTTCGGGCTAGCTGCCGAGCACCGTAACAATTGCGCTGCCAAAGCGGCAAATACTAGCAATTGGTTCATTTAGTCTACGCAGTATTGTAGCATGGACTACAGCCGTTGTCCCTACACTATTATTTGTCAGGTAGTTTGCCTCTCGTATGTACATCTACATTGAGGAAGGAACTCCATTTATACCGGCCATACTCATTTCAATCAGCGGCCTCTACATAAAAGACGCAATAGCCACAACAAGAGCTTACCATATCAGCGGATTGTCGAATGGGTGGCAGTAATATCCGCCTGTAAAAAATTGAAAAAAATTGATTTATATGAGAGGTTTAACGTCCCAAAACCACCATATGATTATGAGAGACGCCGTAGTGGAGGGATCAGAAAATTTCGACCACCCGGGGTTTTTTAACGTGCACCGAAATCTGAGCACACGGGCTTACAGCATTTTCACATCTACCAAAAAAATGGAAAAGTTGTGTTCGTTGAGTGTACACTTATGCCAATTCCACCATCTGTCTCAATTTCATCGTGTTCCTATTTACTCCTCTCGTTCCATTCTCTCGTTTCGTCTACATCCTTTTCTTTCCTTTTTTCTTTTTTTCACTACTTCCATTATTTTCTGTGATCACAGTTGACGGAAAGTGAAATAATGAATGCTATGAAGTTATTTTGAATTAAGGCACAAGTGAGGCTGTTCTTCTTATAAACGAATAAAATACACACTAGTTCTGCACATCTGCAAGTTTTTTTAGTGCGTGAACGAAGAAAAAAGGGCAGGGTATACAGAAGGAGCGCTGACTTCCGACTAGCTTAATTTCGCAGAGTTGCAAAATAGATATGTGTCAAAAAGGACGATACAAAACAGGAACGCAAAGTACAAGCATAATCGATGCCTCAATATTAAATATGGCTACGCACCAGCTAGTCCAAGCTTACACCTTTGTAGTGTCACAAACAAACTTGTGTGGACTTTACAAATGAACATTTTCTCTTTCGATTGAGTACATCTGTGGCGCTAATCTATGTACACCGTGTCGAGTGTATAATTTACTGTTGCTCAAGAAGCAAGCCTTCAATTGTTTTGCTGTTTACTGATACGAACATTTAATTTTATTAAACCACGTATGAAGTACCCATGAGCAGGCCTTTATTTTATGCGCGTTTGTGCTTAACAGAGAACAAAGGGTTCATTGGACTGCACAGCATAATTTATTTTTTGAGACAGTATTCCAACTTTTTATACAAATGATATTTTATACAGTAAAATACCTCGTTTTTGCCCACTCTATCTCTACGTCTATATGGAAATACTGTGCTACAGCGACAAGTTACCAATGAAAGCCTATTACATACCTTAACACTTATGTAATCTAGGGTGGCTCCTTATTAGAAAATTGTAGGAAGTGGCAGTTTATGGCACTGCCATTTCCCAAAAAGTTCCCAGAAACGTCTCGTTCAAGATATCAATAAACTGAATTGAGGGTCCCAATTTAGGCGATATCAAAATAGAGCGCACAGGGAGCGATGAAAGGCAGCGGCTGTGTAAGAAGAAAGTCCCGGGATTTTCCCCTATAGTTTCCGCTCCTCAAATAAAAAGAATACGAAGGACTGTTTATCAGACCAGTAGTCCTGATCAACTTAAACAGGCTTCGAATTAGAAAAAAATTACCACCATTTCAACAAAGCGAATGATGTCAGATGAGCTTGTTCGGAGATCATCTGGTAAACCACGAATCCTCCTTAGACATTCCTGTACCACCATACTGTTACGTGAGTTATGCGTTGCTTACACTGCAGGCTATTCACAAAATAGATTTGGAAAGTGATTCCAGCGCTGGAGAGTCCGGCTCCGAGCTCGAGCAGCAAGTGACCTTCGTCCTCTTCGTCGGGCGCACACGCGCGTCGACAATATGCATTCCGGCAGCCTACATGTAGCATAACCCCGTCGCCAAAGGCACCGTCTTGGCGCATCTAGACGTCAATTGCATAAGGTCAGTGGCACCGCTTCAGGCGTGTGGCGTATGTGATGTCACTGGCCTGAGGGGTAGATAAATACGATGAGGTAGCGGGAACAATTTCATAAGTGACGGGAGTAACCACAAAAAGCATTGGTATGGCCCTGTGTACTGAGAGAGCAGTTTGTGAGACAGGCCAACGTGGCGGGTCGGAGACTGCAGCATAACCAACGAACCGGGCGAAAAATTACACGTTGCCGTGTCGTTGATTATATGGACGCCATTGGTTTTCAGCAGGTCATAGGGCGAGTACGATCGGCTGCGCGTGCATGGGTGGTGCGGCTGATGGCATCCAGATCATATTTAGTGGTCGGAGCGGCTGGCAACGGAATGAGTGTATCGAGTGACAGTGTGGGTTGGAGGCCAAACAGCAGGAAAATTGGGGAGTAACAAGCTGTGTCGTGGCGCGAAGGATTCTACGCATATGTCACGTACGGTGGAGCAAGGTCCAAATCGGAGTGATCTGAGTAAATATATTTTGAAAGCATGTCAGTTAGAGTTCGGTTCAGATGCTCCGTGAGAGCATTTGTTTGTGAATGGTACGACTTAGTGAGCATGTGCCATGCTTCACATGTGCACACGATGCCCGCTATTACTCTCGATTGAAATGTGTGGTCTCGGTCGGTGATGAGCTGGCGTAGAGCACCATGTTACAAGATCACGTCGTCCAGAAGAAAATTGGCGACGTCTGTGGCGCATCTTGTTGAAAGAGCACTAGTGGTAGCATAGCGTGTGGCGTAGTCTTTGGTCACACCTATCCACCTGTTGGCAGCAGAAGACAGGAGAAAAGGGCCGAGTAGGTGCAAGCCGGCGCGAATGAAGGGCTCAAAAGAAATGTCGAGTGGTCGAAGAAGCCATCAGGAAGCGTTGACGGTGTTTTGTGGCGCTGACATTCCTCACACACCGCGACGTATTTTCTGACGAAGCGTGCGAGACCTGGTCAATAGAAGTGATGGCGGATCCAGACATATGTGCGGGACACGCCGAGGTGACCAGCAGTCGGAACGTCGTGAAGTTAGTGGAGTAAAGCCGAGTGCAGGTGTTTGGGTATAGCAAGCAGCAGAGATGGGCCATCTGGATGATATTGTGGTGGTATAGTGTACTATTTTGGAGTACGAGTGAGCGATAAGATTAGTCTGATGGTAAGGATTTGAGGCACTCGATGATGGCCCGTAAGGGTGCATCGCGGCGTTGCTCGTCGGCTATGTGGGTCAGTTGGTGAACGGAGCCCACGCAAGCGTCGTTCTCAGAGATGGTGTACGACTCACCAACCAGATAGCGAGAGAGGCAGTCGACGTCCTGATGCAGGTGTCGAGACTTGCGTGTCACTGCAAAGGTGCACTCTGGCAGTTGCAGAGCCCAGCCACCAAGTCGACTTGTGGGATCCCGTATTGATGAAAGCCAGTAGAGCGCGTGGCGGTAGAGTGCATGACGAACAAGGGAGTGAAATATAAATATGGTCGGAACCTCGAGACATTCCAGACAAGTGCGAGGCATTCTCGTTCCGTGATTGAATAGTTGCGCTCCGCTGCCGCAGGTGCAAGGAGACCACTATCATAGGCAATAACGCGGTAGTGTCCGTGTTGGCGTTGGGCGAGAACGGCTCTGAACACGTGACCACTGGCATCAGCTTGGACCTCAGTCTCGGCGGAAGGGTCAAAGTGGGCCAATGTAGGTGGCGTCATCAAAATTCTGATAAGGCGAGCAAAGGTGGCAGCTTGAGTGGACCCCGACGAAAATGAGATGCTTTTGTTCAGAAGATCGGTAAGTGGTCAAGTGATTGCAGCAAAGTCTTTTACGAGCCGCCTGAAGTAGGAACAGAGTCCACAAAACTCCGGACATCTTTGGCGGATTGGGGCACTGGGAAACTTGAAACGGCACGAATTTTCTCAGAGTCCGGTCCCGCACACTTGGGGCATCGACAAGGTGGCCCAAAACTGTAATGTGTCGGTGGCTGAAGTTTAAGGAGTTTAATTGGAGGCCAGCATTGCGGAAGACGTAGAGAATGGCCAACAGACTCTCCAGGGGGGGGGGTGTCAAATGTAAGTAGAAATACGAGGACGTCATCTAGAAAACACAGGCAAGTTGACCATTCGAACACTTGCAGCAAAGTACCCATCATACGCTCGTACGTGGCTAGGGCGTTGCATAGACTGAAGGGCGTAACCTTGAGTTAGTACAGGCAATAGGAAGTGACGAAGGTGGTCTTTTCTTGGTTGTTCTTATTCACGGCAATCTGCAAACATACACAGCGAAAGTCGATGGATGAAAAGTAGCATGCGCCATTGAGACAATTGACAGTGCCGTCAAAGTGGGGCATAGGGGACACGTCTTTTTTTCGTAATTCAACATAGATGCTGGTAATCTATGCAGAAACTCTATGTGTTGTCTTTGATTTTAACCAGGACTACAGGTGACACCCAAGGGCTTGATTAGGGCTCAATAATTAAATTCTTTAGGTATCATCTTGTTCACTTCTGTTTGAACAATCTTGCGCTACGATGGGGATACCCACTATGGTCGACATCGAATGGGAACAGCATGACCTGTGTTGATGCGGTGCTGTACAAGAAAAGTTTGGTCAAGTGTTCTAGCGTCAAGATCACAGATGTCGTGGTAGGAAGCCAAAATGTAGATGAGGGCGTCTGATTGCGCTGGGGAAGTGTCTGGGGCGATAAATGGCGCCTGGTGCCAGCCGAGGCGTGTGGCATCGGGTGGGTGACAAGAAGACTGGAGCATACGTCTGCTGCAAAAGTGGTGACGTGGTCATCGACTAAGGACCGCAACTTGGCGATTAAGATGCCTTGAAGAAGACTTGCATCGTGAAGGAGGAATTAATGACAGGGAGATGTATCCAGTTGGCGCCTCTAGCTATGACGCAATGAAGGACAGTGGTGTCACGTGCCAGAAATACATATGGAATTGGCGCGAAAATTATTAGCCACCATTTATAAACGAAGTCATGGCAAATTCGGTGAATGTTTGTGCTTTAGAGCCCGAACATTCACTTTAGATCCCCAACAAGAGGGGCTTGGGATGATTCTTCAATTGTGTTTTGAAGACCAAGCGCCAGTAGCTTGTCTTTTGAAATATTCCGTGGCCATCTCTCGTGGCTGTCTTGTAGGCCATTCTGATTATTTGGTTTGCTTTTTCTCTCTCTTCCCCGTTCATAATTTGATATGGAGGCGAGTACGTATGCTACTGATGATGAGGCTTTTGACTAATCTTGGGGTATCTTGTTCTCCCATGCCTTTACGATTGTTTGTTATTCGGGAGATCATTCGTGAGATCTGCTGTGCTGATGTTTAGAGTTAATTTAGTGTGTGCATATTTATCTGATTATCTTGAAGCCACATTCCTAGTATTCGCGCGGTATCTTTCTCTGGGATTATATTTCCGTCAAGCCTGACTTCCAGGTTTAAATTTTGGTCGATCCTTCGTGCTTTTCTCTTCGTGAAACGAATGAGCTCTGACTTTTTGGCTTAGCACTTCACACCCCGTATCCTTGCGTACTCTTATATGGCGCTAGCTGCCTGTTGTAACCCATCTTCTTTCTCTGCTAGGCTCCCTGTGCTTGTCTATGCAGTGATATTGTCTGCATATATCGCATGTTGTAGACCGGCAATATCTTTGACTTTTCCTGCAAGGCCTGTCATGGCGACGTTGCAAAGTGTCGGTGAAATGACCGCTCCTTGGGATGTTTTTTTTTGTATGGAGTTTGAATGATGCCAGATTCGTAATCTCCCAGCTTGATTGTTCAGTCCTGTGACTAAGAAAACTTTTGACGTAATCGAACATTCTTTCTCCACAGTTAGTTTCCTCCAGACCTTCTAGTAATGCTTTGTGACTGATGTTATCAAAGGCTCCATTCGTGGTGATCTCGCTACTCTTTTGTCAGAACTTAGCTAATGTGTATCGAATATTGAAAAAAAAAGAGCTTGTATGTGCTTAGCTAGTCAAAAGCGCCCCGCCAGCCGGTGACACTTCGAGATCAGCGAATACCCCACACGCACAGAACGTTCTATGTGGTTAAGGGCTTGGCGGAACTGACGGCAGAATCGAGGGGGCAGTGCATGACGAGCTTGGATCTTGTTCAGTGCCACTGAAACACAATCAATTTTATTTTCGGGAACAATGTTGGTATTTAGTAGCTATAACACGAAGTTGTGTTTACCTACAAGAATAGACAGCCTTTTCTATATCGCTAGTCTTGAATTGAAACTGAACCAGCGCTTTGCCTACTGACAGTCTATTTTATAAGCTGCCGATACATTGATGTAATTAGTTTACACATTCCTTGCAAAACAGATCGATCATGTGTGTAATAAATAAATAAATAGGATAATACTTTACCTCTCATCATTGGCGCTTCTTACTGAGTCGAGCGATACGGCTGACTCAATTGCATTTTAATCATCTGCATCACATTTTTTGAAAAATTATCGTCAGAATATATTGTTATGTCTTTTATAAATACTTCTCAGTACTTGTAAATTTAGGCTTGCAGCACTTGTATTTCGATATTCGTACTTTCAAAATACTTTTATGAGTGTCTCTGCTCCGCCCTGATTTATGCCAACAGACGCGCTTCATTGCCTCGCAGCTACACAGAAACAGCATTACTTCGTAACAATATGACTCTCGTGAAGAAAAACTTCCTCTGCTCTAATGATATTCTATGCGACACTCACAAGGAAGAAATGAACACGATAATTATTTCGTCTGTGTCATAACGCATTTGGGCTTGGACAGAGAGCAAAAAAAAAGCTCAGCCAAATGAGCTAAAAGCCTGGGTTTGTGTTCGTACTTATAGCTTTTGAAGAGTGTCCTTGTGTAAATTAAAATGGTTTAATTCATTAGGAGAAAGACGCCGCAGCACCGCCTAGTGGTTTCCGTGAAAACGGCCTTACCGGGAGGATAGCTCTCGTCCCACTACCCCTATCTAGTTCACTGTAATGTTGGGAAGGGGGCGCGGGGCAAACCATCGGAGGACACCCATCGGGGACAAACCAACCGGAGAAACCCAACGGAGGGAGGGTTCCCCTCCCTCCGTTGGGGAACCCTTCGCGCGTGTTCCTGTACTATAACCACTGAGAAGGCACTCCGAACTTACCTTCTTTTGCGACGATTTCTCTCGCTCGCACGTCAGCGTCGTCCCAACTGTTACCTCGTACCTCGACGCGCGCCCCTTCTAGCTGCAGCTTCTCGGCCATGTGATGTGGAACGTTGTTTGAGATAACCACCACACACTCCATTCCCAGCTGCCGCGCGCCATACGCCACCGCCATGCCAGCATTGCCACCTGACGCTATCACCACTTTGGAGGCACCTTGCCGCTTAGCCTGCGAGCATTAGGCAAGATGAAAAATTCGGCGATTTGATGCAGGTTCATTGTGCTAACAGCTTGGAGGCCGATTAGTAACCAGATAAGTTTCTACAAGCCCTTCAACTATATATGCCTAAGATCTGCCCCGAGCTGCGTCTGAAGCAGCTGGATAAAGTCGTCCTTGCCAGGACTATGGCTCACTAGGCAGTGAAGGGGACAGACCAAGGTGCGTTTCCGAGTGCGTTGATGTGTTTCAGAAGTCGTCGGGGGATTCAAGGTGTTCAATATGGTTAGGACCTTTGATTGAGTTCTGTGCTAAATATAGTCTGCGCATCCTTGAGTCTGACAAAAGAAAGATGTTTTGTATTATACTGAGCACTAGATTCTAGAAAAAGCAACCTGAGCAATTGAGAAGAGTTTTCGCGAGGTTCGCGCTGATCTCCTTAGGAATAAATCGCATGTGAATTTGTTCAACAAGGTCGGCTTAACAAAAATCGCAAACAGTATCAAGCATGCAGATGAAGTCTTTTCCCAGACGAGAAAAAAAGCCTCATCTGCATGCCTTCTTTAGTGTAAAACACAAAGGCAGGATTATTTTGTCAGGACCATCGTTTTGGAAAGAAGTTGATGGTTATATAATATTTCAGAGTACTTGCCGACTCACCTCACACAGACTTACTTCGCGCAGTGGAAGGACCCTTTCGTGGTCGTCAGTTCAAAGTATGTAGCACACTCTCTAGAGAATAATATTACCAAGAACTGCTTAGAATTGAGCATAGATATAGAATATTTTATTACTCTTTCCCGCACACACAGCTATTGAAATTCGTGAAGGGCTGCATCCAGGACCAAAGAAATGAGTTAGGTTTTGTCAAAAATGACAAAATTTAGGTACTGTATAGAATAGAGGCGTTACACATTCGGCACTTGGGCCGACAGCTTAGGAACTCGAATAGCCGAGATGTCTTGAGACCCTCTAACGCAGTCGTTTTCTCTCTGACGCATAAGTCGGCTGCTTTGCATCGCACCGCTTGGTTTTTGTTGGCCCTGGAACCCTTACGTCAGCAAAGTCCAATCAGAATCTTCCGCGTGGTGTCAGAATCCTCCAATCCGGAACCGCTGAGCTGGATTACATTCATGAGCGAGTGGTATTGCCACATGTTGCGTAAAACTCGCTAGACTGGATGGCCCCAATTGCATTATCGGGCTGCATCGGGCCCGTGGGTTGAGGGAGCTCGCCGTGCGTTGTACAAAACACACTGGCATCGCTCGGCTAGATGACGTTGTCAGGCGGGCTCGCTCGCTAGCTTTGACGCTGGTTGCCTTTGCAGAAGCAATGACGTTCGGCCTGGATTCCCAGACATAACAACACCCCCACGGCCAGACAATGCACCGGAAAGACGATCTGCTTAACGTGGCTCGGATGTCAGCCATGCCCGTTCGCCAGGTTCCTCCAAGTTCGCCTACAGGGCCATGGGGAGGATGTGGCTCCAGGTTCAGTTCCTTGCACAGATCCCATCATTGAGGACGAATCCAAGCTCTACTGGCTTGTTGTCAAAGCTTGTCGACAAGCTTCGCTCGTCTCTTGTTACGATTTTGGTCTTAGTACTTGTCGATGGTTCTGCAACGTGGCAAGAACGGTTCGACAACAGACAACACACGACACAAGCAAGTGCCCTAAATTACCCGACAGAACACCCGACACAATGTAGTACATTATATATTTAGCTACGTGTCAAATCCAAATTTTGTTCCCTCTACATCAATATGCACATGTGGAACACAAAACTTTTAAAATGACAACTCAAGCTTTTAAACAAATAACAATGCAATGAAGTAGTGTACAACATATTGCCACATGGTTTGCTTGGGTGAGATCGAAGAGTGAAAGAGGACAAATACGATCTCTCTGAGCCGCTGCTTGACTAGTCGACTAAACGAGCTCATTGTATCAAGTTTTGTCGTGAGTAACGTGACAAGACTGGTGGAGGTGCTGGGTACAACGTCTCACGATCCACCCGATGCCCAAGACCCCGTCCAGCAGCCTGAACACAAGCCCTACACCCATGGACACTCCTGTTCATGAAGAAAGCCGCCGCCAACGAGGCCTACCGCCTGAGACACCAACCACTGACGCAGCGACTATGACTTCGACACAAGATCCCGTGCAAGCTCTGACACCTTCCACGCCGATCTACTGCACCGTGCAAAACCCGTTCATGCCTAGCCCCTTTCACGGAGAGCAGCATGAAGATGTTGACGACTGGCTGAGTGAGTTCGAACGTGTCGCAGCGATCAATTACTGGGATGATGCCGCGAAGCTCCGGAACGTGTACACTTGCCTAAAAGACGGTGCCAAGACGTGGTTTTTGAACAGGTATGATGTTCTGACATCTTGGCGCAAGTTCCAGCGTCGCCTTCTGGAGACCTACAGGAGTCCCGACCACCGCGAACGGGCGGAGCGTGCACTACAATCACGCATCCAGATGCCAAATGAGACCTTCTAGATGTACGTCGAGGACAGGAAACGGCTTTTCAAGTGAGCGGATCCTGCTATGGCAGAAGAAAAAAAGTTGCGCCACCTCATGCGTGGTGTGAAGGAACAACTTTTTGCTGGTTTGGTGCGTAGTCCCCCCAAAAGTGTTGCTGAGTTCCTTACTGAAGCGGCAACAATGGAGCGAGTACTGCACCAACGGTCTCCTTTGTTTGACCGTCAAGTGAATGCTGCCTCAACTCCTGAAATTTTCGCCACCCCTGGGAGCAAGAGCCCCGAACGGATTCGCGAGGTCATTCGATCTGTCGTCCGGGAAGAAATGAAAAAGATGTACGGGACAAGGCAAATCGATGATGGTTCTATCACCAGTGTCATCCGTGACGAGGTCCAGCAGGCGCTGCACGCCCATCGTTTTCCGCCCACGTCGGTTGATCCGGAAACGGCTCCTGTGTCTACTGACAGTCGCCGTCGTACGTACGCGGAAGCCTTGCGATCTGCCACTCCTCTTTCTGGTCAAGGAGTCCCGACCCAGCCAGTGCCGCACGTCCCGATCCAGACAGTGCCGCACGTCCCGATCCAGACAATGCCATACGTCTCAATCCAGACAATGATGCCGTCAGTAGCGATTCAGTCAGCGCACGCTGATTTGGACATCGATAGTCGCCGTGCACCGACGCGCAAGTCTGATCTCTGGCGTACGCCAGACAGACAACCCCTCTGCTATTATTGCGGTGAGGCTGGTCACATTTACCGCGAATGCCCATACCGGCAACTTGGACTGCGCGGATTTTCCGTCAATTCCCCTCGTACCCGAATTGGTTAAAGGCCAAGGGATATCGAAAAGTATCTCGCGTAACAGCGTGCGCCCTTTACACGACGGCAATCGCGGTCACCATCTCCGAGGAGACCCGCAGCCACTGGGCCACGTTTCGGGGTGACGCACGGGAACGCTCCCCAAACCCTCGTCGGGAAAACTGAAGGCAGCGGCCTTCGGGGGCAAGGTCGCTGGGACTCCAAGTGCGGAAGACCTCCCATCGACGCTTGCACGCAACGCAGAAGGCGTTTCGTCAGAGAATAATCGCAGTACCGAAGAAACGCCGACATCCACATCTAAACCTAGTGACCGCGTGTCACTCGACATACCTGTGCTGGTTGATGGTCTTCAGGTCAGTGCATTGGTAGACACTGGTGCAGACTATTCGATCATCAGCGGGAGGCTAGCGAAAGATCTGAGGAAAGTGATCACGCCATGGAATGAAACTCGAATTCGAACAGCTGGAGGACACGTTGTAACACCGCTGGGTCGCTGTACCGCAGGAGTGAAAATTCGTGCGTCAATGTTTGTGCTCAGCTGCCTCGTTCTTCGCGACTGTTCGCGTCAGTTGATTATCGGCATGGACTTCCTTCGGGAATACGGTGCCATCATAAATCTCCGTGAGCGCATCGTGACCTTCTCGACTCAAGGCGCAACAGATCGAGACGTTGATAACTGCCGTAGACCTGCGCTGCGTGTTGCTGACGACACTGTGACGCTACCACCTCGAGCAACTGTTCCCATCGAAGTCACTTGTGAGGACTTCCAAGACGGTGACGTGGTGGCTGAAAGCAACCTATCACTTCTGCTGCTTCAAAGTGTATGCGCCGCCCGAAGTGTTGTGCGCGTCCGTGATGGGCAGTCAACGATACTAGTTACGAACATTTTTTACGAACTAGTTACGAACCGGCATTTTTTTCGCGGAACCACCCTAGCTTATGGAGACCCTGTTGCCGACGTCACGGAGTGCTTCGCGTCCAAGGAAACGCATGAGGATGAGGAATTTCTAGACCGCATCGACATTAATTCGACGCTGTCAGACGAGAGAAAGGCTGCACTTCATGACCTTTTAAGGGAGTTTCGATCTGGCTTCGCCTCTTCTAAAGTCCGTCAAACACACCTCACGAAGCATCGAATGATTACCGACGATGACGTCCGCCCCATCCGGCAGCAGCCTTATCGCGTTTCTGCCAAAGAACGCGAGGCTATTCAGACACAAGTAAAAGAGATGCTCGATGACGGGATTACTCAGCCATCCAGCAGCGCTTGGTCCTCGCCAGTCGTTCTATTAAAGAAAAAAGACGGAACGCTGCGATTCTGTATTGAATACAGGAAGCTTAATAGCGTCACAAAAAAGGACGTCTATCCGCTTCCACGGGTCGACGACTCCCTCGACAGGTTACGACGCGCGAAGTATTTTTCGTCCATCGATCTAAAGAGTGGCTATTGGCAAATTGAAGTGGATGAACGAGACCGAGAAACAACCGCGTTTGTGACTCCAGACGGACTTTACGAAGTCCGAGTTCTTCCCTTCGGCCTCTTTTCCACACCAGCCACTTTTCAGAGGATGATGGACACAGTTCTCGCTGGCTTGATGTGGCAAAGCTGCCTTGTCTACCTCGATGATGGGGTCATCTTTTCCGAGAGCTTCGAAGAACATCTGAAGCGTCTGAGAAAGGTTCTGCAAGCCAT